ATACTTAAAAAAAACTTTTTAAAAAACCACGTTTTTCTTGTGGACTAAAAAGTAGAAAATAATTTTTTCTTTTGTGCTTCCTCGAGCTGTGCAGGTTCTTGTGATGACTTACAAAAAACGTGGGTCGGGCAGATGGGTCGGGAAATTTGATGGTGAACGTACCCACGTTTTTTGTCAGTCATCACAAGAACCTGCACAGCTCGAGGAAGCACAAAAGAAAAAATTATTTTCACGACCTATGATCTTTCCCAAATTTGAAGACTCAACCATCATTGTTGTTGAACTTACGCCGCCACCACGGCCTCCGCTAAAGGATCCTCTAAATGACATTTTGTCTAGATGTGTTGAGAACGCTACAACTCTAGAACTGTGAACATTTGCAATGACGACACTTAAGTCTTTCAATGGAGACAAGCGAGTTGACGAGATTCCTTCCATAGTGTTGTTGACATGGAATAAAAACGTGCTTTTTAGATTTAGACCGTAAAAAAAAAATAAAAAAAAAAAACGTAAGCCTAAAATTAATTTAGAAATTTTATATTTTTAGAATAAATGCTATACAAGTTGCAAATCCAGAGAACTTGAAAATAATTTGTTGAGTTTAAGGCTACATTTCTATTTATTTTCATCAAGCCTAAGTTATAACCGGATGTTTCACTTTCGTAAGACAAATAGGTAGGTAGGTAGGTAGGTAGGTAGGTAGGTAGGTAGGTAGGTAGGTAGGTAGGTAGGTAGGTAGGTAGGTAGGTAGGTAGATATAGGTACATCATGATGAAATAATATTAAATACATAATGATTATGATGTGTGTTTTATCAGGGTATTTTTGTGCGAATGAATGTTGGTGCGAGAGATACAGCGAATGCATGTTTGATGACTCGGAAGAAAGAGAGTGAAGTTTTGCGATAGAAACGGGTTGTTATAGAATGCAAGCTTGGGACTAGGGAGCATGTACGAGATACTCCGTGTAATGCCAATATCAAGGATAGTTTTATGTTTATTTATTCGAGAATAGTCGTTGAATAAATAGTGAACAAGAAAAAAATAGACGTTTGTCAAGCGATTATCGCCTGTATCGTGGTTATGTGAATGCACATGGTAGTGTTATGCTTTAAGTGGTAGTATATCGCGTCAGGTCAAACACAACACTCTCACAGCAGCCCTAACAATCATGTATAAATGTGTCATCTAGTCCTTATAGGTCTTTGTGCGAAAATGGCTCTTTGTGCATTTTTCGGTGTGCACAGTTTTCTGTGTGTGCTTTTTCTGTTTGCGTTTTTTTTCTTTTTTTGCGCTTTTTTCTGTTGCGCTTTTTGTCGTTGCGCTTTTTTCAGTTTGCGCTTTTTTCTGTGTGCGCTTTTTTCCGTTTGCGCTTTTTTCTGTTTGCGCTTTTTTCTGTGTGCGCTTTTTTCTCTTTGCGCTTTTTTCCGTTTGCGCTTTTTTCTGTTTGCGCTTTTTTCCGTTTGCGCTTTTTTCCGTTTGCGCTTTTTTCCGTGTGCGCTTTTTTCTCTTTGCGCTTTTTTCCGTTTGCGCTTTTTTCTCTTTGCGCTTTTTTCCGTTTGCGCTTTTTTCTCTTTGCGCTTTTTTCTGAGTGCGCTTTTTTCTCTTTGCGCTTTTTTCTGTGTGCGCTTTTTTCTCTTTGCGCTTTTTTCCGTGTGCGCTTTTTTCTCTTTGCGCTTTTTTCCGTTTGCGCTTTTTTCTGTGTGCGCTTTTTTCTCTTTGCGCTTTTTTCCGTGTGCGCTTTTTTCCGTTGCGCTTTTTGTTTTGCGCTTTTTTCCGTTGCGCTTTTTTCCGTTGCGGTTCTTTCTGGGAACCTCCTGATTCAGTTGAACGGCTGCTAAATTTGTCAAATCATATACTCATCGTAATATTCCTTTTCTAACATGTTTTAAAGACAACACTTTCATGTGCATTAATGGGTCCCATAGGCGACATAACATACATAAAAATGGCTTCCGTTTTTTTTTTCTGAAGAAGCCAATATAAAATTAAAATCTGGTAACCGTTTTTTTTTATTTAGATGAAATTGGTTTCTTGACAGACATACAAACACATTTTTTTTCAAAGTTTTAAGCCTCCCACGCCTGTGGAAAAAGTGATCTCCCTTTAACATATTTTGTTATTTTATCGAGAAGTTTAAATTACTCATGATTGTATTGTTCAGCAGGATTTGACACAGATAAATTGAACGATGTCTTCCACTTTTAGCGTTAACTATATTTTCTTTGACAAGACAATGTAGTGTTTTCAAGCAAGTCATTTTTAAAGATGAATAATTAGATAACGTCAAGGAGAGGTATAATTATTCAGCTATGTAACAAATAGAAGAAACTGCTAGGTAGGCTAATTATTTAGACAAGGAAAACGATTCATTTTAATCGAGTTGAAAAATAATATAAATTAAATCAGTGTGAAATAATATCACCGAAAGCTAAGAACGTGAAAACGTAAGAAAATAAACTGGTATAAATAGAACATAGGAGTATCAAATTTCTGACAGACGTTAAAGTGTGCATCTGAATATGGAACACCTCTAATTGAAATGTGTTTGTTTTAATACCAAGGCCTAAACTAAGTTTAGATAAAAACGAATCTAGTGAAAGTTGACCCCTTAACTACATATAACACTGTTTGTTATAATAAAAGTTCAATCATTATAGTGATCTTTAACCCCTGGTATTAATAGCTCTTATGTAATTGGTGGTGCGGCGTGGTTGGGTGATAGAGCGTTCAGCTGCTATCCCGAGGTCTCCAGTTCGAATCCCGAGTTCCTACCAGCTACCTGCTTCTCGTTAGGGAAAGTTAAACCTGATACGCGTAGTGATTAGCAGAATATCCCTTCTAGTGCCAAGGTCATTGAAAAAAGTGAATTATACTACACCTGCGCCATGGACCTTAACTTTCGAAAGGGTACTTTGCATGTAGCTAAATAAGTCAAAGGTAGGGTAGTGATTAGAACTATACATATCTTTGGAGAATTGCAAAATCAAATATGTCTTCTTTTTATACTGTTGTTTATAATTTAATTTTTTGTTGTTGTCGAAATGGTGTTTTTCAAGTACAGTTACCGTAAGCTAAAAAAATTGTCAGTAAAAAAAAGATTATGTATTTTCGGTTTCAAACTGACAATGTTTTTAGTCATGCTTCAAATAAGGACAGTATTATTGTACCTCGACTGTTTCTCAAAATAGACAGTCTCGAATCTGTATCAAATAAAGGTCTTGTCTGTATAGAAAAAAAACCAGTCAGTGAGCTGGTTGACTGACATTTCTAAAGGACTTTCAGTCAGGTAATATCACGGCTCATTTCACTGCCAAGGTAATCAGCTCATTATCAGTCGCGCCAGAACTATTCTATCTTTTTCAGGCGTTTTTTCCACCCACAAACACAAATGTACTTGTAACGCTTCCAGTGTCTTGGGCGAAGCGATTCTAGGATAAATAATAGTGCTGAAAACACATTAACTCGTCGAGTGGGCGGTCACTTAGGTGGTGGGATGTGGGTGTCAGACAGGCGGTTCGGGAAACACTATCAGGAAATTTCATTTTGGAAATATAAATTTAGAAAAGATCCGTAAACAAGAAAGGGAAGAGTAAATTAATTAAGATAGAAAGCTGATTTTTTTTCTTCATTTGAATAAATTATCAGTCATAGATACACTTTAAGCTAAAGTATTTCACATTAAACTTGACTCTAGAGGGTCAGAAAACAGATTAACTAAAAAATAAAAATATTCTCAACAAATTGACTGAATTATTAACGAATGTAAAAATATTCCGAGTATACTGACAATATAACAAGGCTATCTGGATGCATATATTTTATTACATGTGCTTTATTCTGTTTTGCATAGGTTCTATGTTTGCGTTTGATAATGGGTTAAAATATCAAATACTTCAATTCGTATTTTTAGTTGTTTTTTTTTCCCAACTTTTCAATCCTAAGTGTAGGTCCTTATATAACTTATGCATGTTCCATAATATAAAAGTACTTAACTTAGTCTGCATTCTAATTAAGCATTCTAATTAAATCGATAACACTTTTAGCAATACAATAAAACCAAATGTTTTGCTTAGGCCTGGTTTTAATATTCTAATGAACTTGGTCCGCCTGCCCCCGAAAAAAAATGTTTATAATAATTAAAAAGTTAATATTTTATTTTTTACTAGTAGACATTATTAGTCCGTCTAATTGTAAAAGACCAACCAATTTTTACAGATTATAAGTCGTTTAGTAAAGAATTCCATTTCCTTATAACCGTTACCTCCATGTTTATATTTTCTGTAGCTTGTCTGTGGCCTGGCAGAGATGAATGTTAACTCCTTCCGTCCCACGAGCCGTATTACGCGGCTTAGCATACGGTTTGTATTAGTTGGTGGGCCGTATTTTGAGGCTTGCACACATTATCTTTCGTTTCTTGTCATAAGCCGATCCAATACTTAATTGAACATATAGACAACCATGTTTTTAATAAGAAAATACTCCGGTTATTCTTTCGTTTTTTGTTAAGGTGTAACCAGTGTTTCTTCCAGACTTTTTTCTCCGGGGGGGCACTTGAAATCTTCGGGGGGGCGGTAAACTTTCTTCGGGGGGGCGGACACTGTTAAAAGTATATATTTTCTATATAAATTATATAAATTTCATTTCGTTCGGGGGGGCGGTAAAAATTTTTCGGGGGGGCTTCGCCCCCCCGAAGAGATGCCTGGAAGAAACTCTGGGTGTAACTTAGATTATTTTTTTAGTATTTGCTTTTCTAAATATGTATTTTTGACAATTAGGTAAAAATATTATTTTACTTTTTTTTTTTTAAACCAATAAAATTCAAATTTATTCTTTTGTAAACTCATTTTCAATAAAAAAAAATTTCCAAAGCTTCTCAGAATATTCTGTAAAAAGTTTCATTCGAATTAGTAGAGAAGAAAATATTTTAGAAAGCTATAAATTATGTCTTGATTGTTTGTTGATAACATTGTAATAAATAAAAGACAAAACACGACAAAATGATCATTTTTTGGATTTTTTTTATGATCGACATAATAATAGGCCTTTACTTACAACTTTATTCAGAATTTACCGGTAATCTTTTCATACTTTTCTTTGTCAATTTTTTGTTATGCAACGTATTCGATGATCTAGAAACAATTATATATATATATATATATATATATATATATATATATATATATATATATATATATATATATATATATATATATATATATATATATATATATATACATGCAAATTTACATGTGATCCAATTTGATTTTTCTTCTACTTCTTCTTCGTTCTTAATTATTAGTGTTGAAGGGGATTGAGATTTATCTGCCAGTGGGTTTGAACTCGAGACTTTGTTCGAATTTATCAACTATGATCTTTTTGCCGACTCGACCACGCCTCCAACACAATTAAGCGTTACGTGTCAACTGGTTATGCGCCATTGAGGCCAATGACTCCGATTTCAGCCTGCTTTTCTTTTTGGATTTGCTTCCATAGCCTTTGTTCAACCAAGAACAAACTACAAGGCAGCAGTTGTTTAATTTAATTTTGGAGTTGTCTCTCCTAGAAGAGTGGATGTCCCCAGCTAACGAGCCTCATCTACCCGAGGGTTCGAACTCGAGACTTTTCGGTTTAGCAACCATGAACTTTACCGACTCGACCACGCCGACCCAATCGATTTGATTTAATTTTAGATGAAATATTTTGTTCATGGTATACTTACTGGGTACTCGCCACTACTCTCGCCGCTACTCTCGCCACTAATCTCGCCACTACTCTCGCCACTAATCTCGCCACTACTCTCGCCACTACTCTCGCCACTACTCTCGCCACTACTCTCGCCACTGCTCTCGCCACTACTATCGCCGCTACTGTCGCCGCTACCCGTGTAGATACCTTCGGCAAAAGTGTCATATCCATCGCCCTGTTTTAAAAAGTAAAACTGTGAATTTTATAGCATCATTGATTTGAATATACATACATATTCACACTTTTTTCTCATTGTTGTACTCTCTCCCTCCCTCTCTCTTTATATATATGTATATATATATATATATATATATATATATATATATATATATATATATATATATATATATAGTAAATATTTAAATAAGATGGCTTTTAAAATGTGTGTATTGTTTTCTAACTAGGAGCCTTTAATTTAAATTGTCGTAAATTTCTTTTTGATCCTGAAACGAATAAAAATGTGTCATTGTTTTCTGCAAAACATGTAAGTCACCATATCTGCATTCCTTGGCAGATCAGATTTATCAGTCTCTGATTATGAAAAATGTTAATAAAAATGTCAACCAAAAATAATGAACATAATGTACTTGTTTTTTAAAATCCGGTACCCAACTAATGAAAATTAAATACATGATTGGAAAAGCATATTGTAAAACCAGTGGCTACACATACTCTAGCATACTTCCCCAAATACGAATACAATGTAATTAATGTTTTACATAAAAATAGGACGGGTCAAATGCGATCACGATGCTACCCTCGTCAACCGGTTCAAATTTAGGGCCCTGTAAAAACAAACATAGATACTTGTGGTTTTATAGTTACATAAATTACAATAAATTATATATATATATATATATATATATATATATATATATATATATATATATATATATATATATATATATATATATATATATATATAATATAAATATATATATATATATATATATTTATTTATTTATTTATTATTTATTTGTTTATTTATTTATATACGTTATAAATAGATGTGTATATGTAGGTGCAATTGTATGTGCAGGTGTAGAAGTAGGTCTAGAACCATATGCATGTTTTTATGTATATCACTGAGGTGCGGTCCATGTACATATTGGACTTGGCTGGCCCCTTCAGAATCTCAAGTAAAAAGTTTTTCCTTGACAATACTAAAACATACAGCGTTTCAAAATAATTGAAAAAGGCTGTTGATGATATTTGTTCGTTGGCGCTCTTCGCTAACAACTAAAATTGTAGTTGTTGTGCAGTTGTTGAAACAGTCTCCTGTAAGCCTGCTGGGTAGATCATGAGGTCCCTGTACCCCATCTATCACTTTGATTGTCCCGCTGCAATATATGTGCTACACTGTTAGAGCTTTGTTGTCTCTTGTCCAAAGATATACGCAAAAATTTCTACTAAAGATCGATTGTATTTACTCACATAAATATTTTCATACAGTCATAATTTAATGATATTTATTGTGCTAATTAATTTAATATTGATTATCTACTTACAATTGGACCATCATAGTCGATTATCTGCAGACATTCGATAACATTGTTATTATTTACATCAAATCAGTATGAAGTTTTTAAAAAAATTTCATTGAGGATTTACATTTTAAAAAAAACACTAGCACATTGTTATTATTAACATCAAATCATTATGGTTAAGATGAAGTTTTTTTTTTATTCAGGATTTACATTTCAAAAAGCAGCACATAATATGACATATTGTTATACTATATTTGATTGTATCGGCTTTTTTTCTAAACAAATAATGTAATCATACAACTTTTGGTGGACACAATGTGCGTAACGTTTATTTTAATATTAGTTAATTTGAAAATATATTAAAGCATTTAATTTAAAAGTAAAAGTACTTTTTCTTACTGGCGGAATCCCGTAGTCGACATTCCCTTCCTGCTCACTAAGTTCAGAGTTCATTTCCTATTAAATCAAATACCACATGATACATTATATATATATATATATATATATATATATATATATATATATATATATATATATATATATATATATATATATATATATATATATATATTTATTTATTTATTTATTTATTTATTTATTTATTTATTTATTTATTTATTTATTTATTTATTTATTTATTTATTTATTTATTTATTTATTTATTTATTTATTTATTTATTTATTTATTTATTTATTTATTTATTTATTTATTTATTTATTTATTTATTTATTTATTTATTTATTTATTTATTTATTTATTTATTTATTTATTTATTTATTTATTTATTTATTTATTTATTTATTTATTTATTTATTTATTTATTTATTTATTTATTTATTTATTTATTTATTTATTTATTTATTTATTTATTTATTTATACAGATTTATAGGGTTATATCTGTGCCTGAAAGAAAGATTGTACGAAATGTTTATATATTTCTATATATTTCATTGCCCATTAAAATCTTACTTTGCTTGAAATCAGTCTTTGGTCATATCAAAAGATTAATACGTATTAAGTGGAAAACTCAAAATGGAAATTAAAATGGAAGGTTAAGTAACACCGATGTAAAGGGAAGAGTGCACTTCAATAACTAGTTCTCTCTGAGTCTATTTCTAAATTAGAAAATATTTTTAAAATTCTAAATTTATATGAGTGAAATCTATTTGTCCAAAAACGATCAATGCGGATAATATCACTGGTTAATAGGCTGATTGCCTAAGTATTAATAATTGTAAAGAGCTATTAAACATTATTTAATCATTGATTAAAATCAAGGATGTACCTCTTGTGGGACTGGTTTCCCGTATATGGTACTCACAAGTACCAACACAACCAGAGCTGCAAGAATAATCTTCTGCATGATTCAGTCTTTGGAGATGTCTCAACGATGGTAGAATACACTCGGCTTAGTGGACCTGCTATACTGTGGACCTCCAACGGTCTGTTCTTATAGTCCATCTCACTGCATCGATTCACTCATGCACGATCGACAGTAAACATTTATAATCTTGTTGAGCCCGTGTAAATTCACAGCCATAACTTAAACGTGGAGAGTATTAACAGGTATAAACGTATGTGATTACTGCTTATTTTTTAAAAATATCGAACTGTAGGAAGTCTCAAATTACAGGTAATTAAAATGTGCTTAGTGTATTGATTAAGTCGATACATTCTTCAGCATGCACTAGCATTAGGTTTACAAAATTGTTAGCGGTAGCCTATATATATATATATATATATATATATATATATATATATATATATATATATATATATATATATATATGAGTATGTGTGTTTGTTCCTATGTGTCCATGTCCAGTTTAGTCTGTACTTCGAGTGTCGTTCATTGGGGGACAATTTTCCAGTCACTTGAGTCAACGACGATTTCATGGGAACCACGTTTGAGTCTACTAAGTTCTGTGGTTAAATGTTAGAGCGTCTGACTGCTAGTCCAAAGGTCTTGATTTCGGATCTTGTTTGGGACTCGTGACTGCAGGAGGTCCCTGAGTCCACTCAGCTATGATGGGTACCTGACTCACGTGACGGAAAAACAGGATGGCCATAGTACTGACCACTCTATTCCTTTCATTTGCCGAGGTCTTTGTAATAAATGAACTCTACTATACCCTCCCCATACGTCTTGGGCTCAAACGGAAAAAAAAAAGATTATAAAAGTCTAATAGATGTTTTACCTTTACACTATGTTCTGAAACGTATCTTACTTTTCGACAATAGTCTAATGCGCAACAGTAAGGCCCAATAAAGTATGTTGGTTTCTCAGGCCTAATATATATCTCGTTTCTTTCTTCTATGGTCGGACTAGTACCTGCTATAAGTGCACAAAGCTCCGATGGTTTCCTTCAGCAGGATAAACTAAGTTCTGATAAGTACCTGATTAAAATAAACCGGGAGTGATCTCCCCTAAACTTTCTCGAATATTCTTATATAAAATAACAGGGGATGGGAACTCGGGCTATAGACATGATTTTTAATCCATTTTAAATACTTAAAGTTTTAAAAATAGAATAAAATCTCGTAGACAAATTAATTGCACACCAAGTGAACGCCAAATAAAAAAGCGCATAATAGTGCGCAATATTATCAGTACTTTTAAAATTTACATTAGTTTTTTGAGAAATCGGAAGAAGCGTAAAGTACTACTTCCAGTCAACGGAAATTACTCAAAATTTAACAGAAGGTAGAGAATTAGATCTTTTACTCACCTGTGAAATTTCATTTATCTATCTGAAATAGTACTCAAGTTATAGGCTTTTGAAAAATTCAAAGTAGGAAAAGTACCACTTCCGGTTATCGGAAATCGCTCAAAAGTTGATACGGATCTACGATTTTGATAAGATACTTATATATGAAATTTCATCAACCTAGCTGTAACGGTACTCAAATTATCGTGTTTACACACGGACAGACAGACAGACAGACAGACAGACAGACAGACAGACAGACAGACACACAGACATACGGACAAGAATGCAAAATTATGTTTTTTTCGTATCAGTGAGATGTAAAACGTCGAGATTTGTAAAAATCTCGATTTTTTTTTTGTGCACGATTACAAGACTTTCTCTATACTTCGTATATACGAGAAAGTAAAAAAACGAATCTCTGATGGGTAGGCCTACCTGTCTTCAGAGAACTAAGTTCTTATAGGTGTCTGTTTTTAAGCTATGAAGTGTACCTGTCTTCAGTGAGCTAATCTCTGATGGGTACCAGTCTTCAGTTAGCTGACCTCTTTACCTGCATTCAGTGCACAACTCTTATGTGTACTAGCATTCAATGTATTAAGCTCTGATGAGTATTCCCACTATTATGTAAATGCTGACGTCATTGATACAGTAACATACACGTTAAACTTGAAAAAAAAATGTTATTGTTATTTGTTGTATGAACTATGTTTGAAGATTCAAAAACATTTTGACTTCTGTATTAGCCACATAGTTTAGTGATATTAAAACTGCCTCCTTTAATATTTCAACTGAAGAGCTTATGAGATAGTCAGAAAATTATAAAATGCCGGACAATACTTTAACAGGGTTGATACTATCGTATTTCATACGGTTTTTTTATTAACAAGGGCGATACCATACACTATAATAAACAAAGTATCAGATGAAGCATTAATAATAAACACCTGAATTATACTTTTCACAAATGAAATATGTTTCTTAAATGACAACAAAATACATTTACCATGTTTAATGTTCTCTTTGTATGACACATAATCTGATCGGCTTATAATCTTTATTTATGCTGGATACCCCGTTTCGTCCTGTACTTCATATGTGGTTAGTGCACCTATTCTTGGGAAGGTTGATATACTAGGATGTGTTACAATAAGCTAAGATAAAAATAAATAAATAAACTTTTAAAGTTTCATGAGAGAAACCATCTTAACGTCATAGTCCCTATCATTGCCCTATAATGTTAACGAATGTCGCTGTCATTGCTTTGTAATGTTTAACGAATGTCGCTATCATTGCTTTGTAATGTTTAACGAATGTCACTATCATTGCCCTATAATGTTAACGAATGTCGCTGTCATTGCTTTGTAATGTTTAACGAATGTCGCTATCATTGCTTTGTAATGTTTAACGAATGTCACTATCATTGCTCTGTAATGTTAAACGAATGTCCCTATCATTGCTCTGTAATGTTAAACGAATGTCCCTATCATTGCTCTGTAATGTTAGAGAATGTCCCTATCATTGCTCTGTAATGTTAACGAATTCCCCTATCATTGAGCTGTAATGTTAAACAAACGTCCCTATCATTGCCCTGTAATGTTAAACGAATGTTCCTATCATTGCTCTGTAATGTTAACGAATGTTCCTATCATTGCTCTGTAATGTTAACGAATGTTCCTATCATTGCTCTGTAATGTTAAACGAATGTCCCTATCATTGCTCTGTAATGTTAGAGAATGTCCCTATCATTGCTCTGTAATGTTAACGAATTCCCCTATCATTGAGCTGTAATGTTAAACAAACGTCCCTATCATTGCCCTGTAATGTTAAACGAATGTTCCTATCATTGCTCTGTAATGTTAACGAATGTTCCTATCATTGCTCTGTAATGTTAACGAATGTTCCTATCATTGCTCTGTAATGTTAACGAATGCCCCTATCATTCCTCTGTAATGTTCAACGAATGTCGGTATCGCTGGTTCTAATAGAGACGTTTCCTGAAGAATATAGTCTGTACTTCTGTATTGTTTTCATAATTGCTTTCAATCAGTATTTATAACAGCTACATTTTGGAAAAAAAATGTTTTTCAAAAATATGACAAGCGATAAAATTATAGTTACGTTTGTAAAAATGTAAAGCCTTTGGGTACCATGGATTACACTCAATTTTATATTTTTGTATCGAATATAAGCCGTTGACAAGCCGCTTAGAATTATATCATCAATTCAAGTATTTTCAAAAAAACTGCCCTCAAACTCTTCTTGAAGTCAACCGGAATGGCCAGGGAGAGTATTGCTTATTCATTAATTCGTCAAGACATCATTAGAGTTAATCGACACTACACGGTAGCATTGGAAATTGTTAGGCCACTTCAAAACTCGGATTAACTTACTTCAAGTTTTGAAGGTTTGGTTCAATAATCAGGATTAACAATTTTAATTGACTCAGCTTTCAACCTAATTAAAAAAAAATGTGAACATAGTCAAGAAATAAACAAAAAGTCTGCAATTGTTTAATTCTTGTACAGCCATATGTGACTTGTATATGCTTTTAAAAATATGTTATATAATAAATAGTGTGTTGTTAAAAATATGTTCAAATTTGAAATTGAATTTTTAAACCATTGTGAATATAAATGGTAGTAACTAGAAGACAAAGAAACAAAAAAAATTATAGGCGAAGGTTAGAAGATTTTATTCGAGTTAAATAGTTGGTCTAATTGGTGGTACATCAAAATATTTTTAGAAATTAAAATCTTTCAGTTTCACATCACTGTTCAACGCCCAATTGTTGATCAGCAGCGGCTTCTCCTAGACCCTAGGAATGTTTTAAAACAGAAATAGTTTAGAATAAACACACATACACGCACTCACGCTTACTTACACTCCCACACACGCACGCACTCAAACCTATATAAATTTATATATATATATATATATATATATATATATATATATATATATATATATATATATATATATATATATATATATATATATATATATATATAAATGTGTTCTGTTTTCATACTTGAACCAAGAGTGGGGCTTCAGCGTTTCCAGACCCGGCCTGTAAAACGTAAACAAGTCTTTACAAAATAGCAATAAGACATTGTATCTGTATCTAAATGTGTAAAGTAAGCTAATCATATATATCTTTATAGTTTCTTTTGGGATATTATAAAATGAAACACTCTGCTCCTCTTTTTGCTGTGTAAATTATTCTAATGTAAATTATACACCAAACTAGATACAGCTGAACAGGTTATTCACGGAGTGTATGAAGTAAAATATAGATGACAATTAAACATTTTGGTGGCTCATCCATTATGTGCCCATTGTTATCGACACTTACCTCGCCACTACCTTCACCGCTGCCGTCGTCGCTGGCGCCAGCTGCATTACCCTGTTAAAAGTGTGACGTATTATTTTACAGTTTAATTAATCAATGAAATATATATATATATATATATATATATATATATATATATATATATATATATATATATATATATTTATATATATATATATATATGTGTGTGTGTGTGTGTTTATACGTATATTGGGCCAATATATGAACGAATAAAAAATGATTAAGTCAAACAACTTACAAGTACATCTCCATCGTCTAATACTTCCTGTAACATAATTACAAACAGTGCAATTAGTGTCATTGAATATTATCAGTGAAACGCTCCATGTACTAATTCTATAACAATATTTATCACGAAGTGATATTTACTGGGTTTTTTTTAATCTTGTATGTAAAAATT